AAGAAGAAAAGAACTAGCGACAAGGTACTGGGCTAAGATCTCGCAACTGGGCGAAAGATCCCCAACCTTTGTCAGTCTACAAAAAACAAGATATGTGAGAGATCCTAGAAAGAAAAGCTTCGGCCAGCGTATCAGAGAAACAATCAAGGAACTGCGACTGGGGGAGCTCGTGATAAATGAACACGACCCCCCAGCGATCGCCCCTTGGACGCTCCCTATACCGCCGGTTAATCTAGATCTACTACAGAAAACCGACAAGAAAAACAACCCCACCGCAGCACGCGCTCTCTCTCTAGAACACCTGGAAGACAACTGGCCGTCTGATGACTGGGACCATGTGTACGCGGATGTCTCACGCGATCCTGAAAGGGGCACCAGCTCGTTTGGAGTATACCTGCTAAACGGGGAACAGGGAATAAGCAGGAAACTGCCCAATAATTGTTCGGTGTACACTGCAGAGCTCGTGGCCATTCGTGACGCCATATCATGGATTTCCCATCAAAAGACTAGTAAGTTCGTCATTCCAAGCGACTCTCTGAGCAGTCTGATTTCAATCCAAAATGACAACTCGGACTCAAGACCAGAAGTCATTTTGGAAATCAGGCAGCTGTACCAGGGGGTGTTAGAGAAGGGAAGCAAAGTAGAACTCATGTGGATTCCATCACATGTTAACATTAGAGGAAACGAGGAGGCAGATCGACTAGCCAATGAAGGTCTCAAGGACACAACACCACTCCGCACCATAGACTACAGCACCACGGAAATCTATAGTATGGTCAAAAGACAGGTCAATTCAATCTGGGAATTAAATCTCGTTGAACTTGACACATACAGATTCCGACTGGATGACAAGATCTACACGAAGACAACACTCAATCACCCTAGAAGAGATATTTGTAGATTTATATCGAAGCTAAGGGTGAAAGAGCGGCTGCGAGACTACAAACACCAAGTCATCATCTGTGAGTGCGGAGAAGAATGTACCACCAACCATGTCCTGGTAGACTGCAAGGTATACAAGGAGGAGAGAATGGAACTAGTGAGAACAATGGAGACCAACAACATACCATTCAACACTAAGAATCTACTCTTCCCGAGACCAGATCTGAAACTGCAAATCTTCGAACAAATCCACGCCCTAATGGACACAGTTGGACTAAGTAGAATAGTGAAGTAAGAGGGGGTCACGATTAGACGGGCCCGGCATCTAAACACTAAACTACATAGGGGATTTATACCAAACTGGCAGGATAGTGGAGTAAGGGGGAGTCACGACCAGACGGACTCGGCATCTAAACACTATTACGCCACAAACAGACACCAAACCTACAGAGTGGGATAGTGGAGTAAGGGGAGGTCACGACAAGACGGGCCTGGCACCTAAACACAAATCCCACAAAGATGACATCTACCAAACTAGCAGGATAGTGGAGTAAGGGGGAGTTACGGTCAGACGAACTCGGCACCTAAACACTATTCCGCAAACAAACACTAAACACTATTACCAAACCCAGAGAGGGGGATAGTGGAGTAAGGGGAGGTCTCGATAAGACGGGCCTGGCACCTAAACACTAACCTCAAACGACGACATCTACCAATCCAGAAGCGGACGAGATCATCTACCAAACGATATGTTTTATATTAAATAAAGGGAAGAACTTCCCACTAAACCAAATCCATGGCCAAAGGCCAAATGGAAAGATTGCAAAATCATATTCTAAAAAACAGGAATCAGCTTCGGCTCTCCTATGTCTTGTCTGCGATATCACTTATGTGGAAGCAGACGTTAAACACCAAGTAGTAGTAGTACACAGCATACTTCCGATAGATCTTCAATTAAGAGCTCGAGATATAATTAGCAGTATTAGAACGTGAGTGGATGTCTGAAGGTTTCTTTTTGTGTTCTTTTGTGATTCAGTGATTCCCTCCAAGTGTTCGGTGCTAAGTTATTTTGTTTAATAGTGTTTTACTACCTCTAGTGTTATTATATTAGAGATCATATTATTGTTTCATTATTACGTGTGATCAGTTTCCCAGATTTCATATATCGTTACTGATCGTGTACACGTGCGGTTGTGTGTCGACCATAATTTTGGTTTCGCCTGAAAGTGGTTTGATATTTAGGCCCTATATCATTATCATCATTATCATTATTGTGTTATATTTTGTAATTTGATCTTGACCAGAGGATAATATATATTTATTTTTATATGAATATCTATTTTGTTGTTTGTGTTATTGAGTAAGGGGAGACATTGTCCAAGGCGACATTGCAGTCGTATTTCATTCAATTATTATTGGAGATCCCGGTCAAAATTGGGAAGGGATTCCTTATAGTCACTCTTTAGCTGACTTACCCATTACTAACCGAAGAGAGTTGTGATCCCAGGCGAGCTTAGAAAAACCCCTCCCTGGATAACAGATCAGTAGCCGAGGTTCCACTAGTGAGTCTTTGTGATAGAGGGACCCAGTTTATCGTGGATACAACCGTTGGACGCTACACAACGACACAAAGCATTAATTGTGATATCACATAATGTCTATATCATTATCTCGTGCTTTGAGTGCCCATCCTGTCCCACATCTGACGATAAAGGATAAAGCACACGGCCGAGAAACTTTTCTCTTAAAAAGTGTTGATTTAAAAAAAAAATTATGTAGCTGAGCAGGGTGGGGTTTCGCCCCCCCCCCCCACAACCCCCCTCTGGATCCGCCCCTGGATTGGTTAAGATTCTACCTGTATAAAACCTGTACATATCCCAATATGGTTTTACATTGCTAAAATATAACAGAGAGAGAATCATCCTGGAAACATGTGTGAAGTGAAAAGTAACTGTGTTCCATAAAATTGTGTCTAGTTAGCCTGTCAGTAATATTTTGTAAATATCCCAGAAGTATAATTTAACGCATCACCGCTGCCGCTGCTTATGGAAAAAAGGGCTGTTCTTTTGGTATACTTTATACACACAGTACAAGGTTATCAGTTTGTGACCATCAACCTTATGTTTACTTTTTGAAATCCATTTATAATACACAAAATGTACAAAATACTTTAAATATCCATACAACTTTTTTGTAAATGTCAATGTGTAGGCCTATATGTATATATTATTGTAGTTAACAAGGTGATTGTCAAATATGCATCCTCATAACTAAAGTTACATGATCAAGTCTTGTTTCATGTGGATCCTCCTCATAAAAATTCCCCTACTAAACTCTCTTTGTCGTGTTGTTCATAACTTAAAGTAGCTAAGTCTCTAACTCAATATCATCCAAAATCTTCAACATTGAAAACACAAATTATTTGTCAATTTAAATCAACATTGATGCTGTGATCTTACCGGAAAAAGATGGGCTTCTGATATCTAATATTTAAGACAAAATAAACATTTTACCATTGGTACACGAATCGTGTACTATAATGCGTTTCAGCCCCAGTTCTAGCAAGAGACTCGAGGAACGAGGCTAGACATATTGCACCAAATATTTCGCGGAACATAACTGATTTGAAATTAGAGTAAAAACGGAAACTATTGAATGTATATCAGTTTATATACATTCATATTACAGTATTATATGAGTTGCGACCCACTTGTGTCAATTTCTAGGTCCCAAATGTTAGCGATTTAGCTCCTTTAAGCGTAACATTCAATATGTAAAAGTCATGAAAAAAATATGAATACGGCACCCCCTGACTTAAACATGATAAACATTGTATTGGTGTGATGTTTTAGTTTAACTCCTTAAAATTAAAATATGCCAAAACAGTGTTTACAGAAGACTGAAACTTTAAAAAAAACAATTATGGGGGTGCCCCCCCTCTCATTGAGTGGGAGGGTGACCCTCCCCTCCAGCGTCACAGATTGTCAACATTTTATATAATTTCATTTGCGGACCCCCCCCCCCCCCCTAATATATATTTTTCACGGCTACGCCTCCGTTTCCAACGTCAACATTTTGGAGTTATTGGACAGTTATTGGGTGTTATTGGGTAATTTGACGTGCCGCTCTAGTGGGACCACAAGCTATAAACAGGATTTTTCGTACAATCAGGTGCCATAATTCAGGAAGTTACGATCCGATATGCGCAAATATCAAAAGAACCAAGATCTTTGGGTGATAAACATGCATTTCAAGTTTCATCAAAATCAGGTGAAAATTGTGACCTCTAGAGTGTCCACGAGTAAAAAAAAAGTGACTTTGCGTACAATCAGCGGCCATAATCCATGAAGTTTCGATCCGATACATGTCAATATCGAAAGAAACTGATCTTTTGGAGATAAACCTATATTTCAAGTTTTGTCAAAATCGGATAAGAATTGTGATCTGTAGAGTGTCCAAAAACAAATTGTGGATGGACAGGGGCGACGACTATATACGTCCACATGAAAATATGGGCGTATAAAAAGGGCAATTTGGCAACAGTAAACTATCAAATATCGATATACAATATTGTGATATGAGTTGAAATAATGGTGGATTTTGGTAGATTTGAGTAAATTCTCCTACCGACGACAAGGTACATTTTCTTTGTTACCCCGGGGATCACGTGGCTAAGTGGGTAGGACGCTAGCTCGCTAGCCTGGAGGTCGGGTGTTCGATCCCTGCATTGGCCGAGAAAGTGCATCCAGATTTTCCGGCGTGGTTCTCCCTTGTCAGTGATGCAGGACGGAGGGGCTGACAAGGAAAGCTGTCTAGTCGTTCGGATGGGACGAAAACCCGAGGTCCTGTGTACACATTGGCGTGCACGTAAAAGATCCCTTGGCAGTTGGATTTCGATATAAGAGTAGGCCGTAGTGCCGCTGTCCGGGCAAAATTTCCCTCATAGCACACTGTATGGCGTATGCCCGTCTTCATTAGCCCAGGTTAGGAGCAGAACAGTAGGACGTTAAACCCCATTTCGTTTCGTTTCGTTTCTTTGTTACCCCAGGCTGGCATCCTAGTTGACACCGACTGTTTCTTGCTTAATCATTGGTACCGTTGAATAAAAAAGACTGTGGTCTGTTTATACTATTTATTTCTATCTAATATATATATATATATAATAATAATAATAAATAAACTGAACATCTGTCAATCAATCATCCATATGTATAAGGCCACAGAGAAAGACAGTAGACGGGGAGGGGGAGGAGGGGGTATTTTACAATTTATAGCTTATTTCAATTATTCATTTGAAGATGATGTTACTTCAGGTAATTTACAGTGAATAGATTTTGTATCTTACTTTAAATGTTGACATTTCATATAACTTAAAGATAGGTTGCCAGGCAACAAAATAGACAATTTCATACAGATGACATTATAATTTTCGTCGGTTGAGGGTTCAGAAGGTTCTAAAAATTGCTGAAATTCAATAGGCTTCTTCGTTTCACTAATCTAAATAATACATATAAATTTCTGAAAGATCGGATGATAACTTTTGGCGTTAGAGGGTTCACAAGGTTCAATAAAGTGAGATTGGCCCCCTACGTCTATGGAAGAACCAAGTAAATAGAGCAAGAAAATAATCACAAGGTTCAATAAAGTGAAACAAGGGCCATAACTCTAGACGTAATAAACAGAAATTGCTGAATTTCAATAGGATTCTGCGTTTCACTAATTTAAATCATGCATATAAATTTCACAAAGATTGGGTGATAATTTTTTATCGTTAACAGAGTTAACAAGGTTCAATAAAGTGAAACATGGGCCATAACTCTAGATGTAGTCAACAGAAATTGCTGAAATTCAATAGACTTCTTCGTTTTACTAATTTAAATAATGCATATACATTTCAGAAAGATCAGATGATAACTTTTGGAGTTAGAGGGTTCACAAGGTTCAATAAAGTGAGATTGGCCCCCTATGTCTATGGAAGAACCAAGCAAATAGAGCAAGAAAATAATCATAAAATCACAAAATTTATGCATCACCTTTTCATTGGAATGCTGGAAAGTCTCCTGTTTTTAAATGTGAAATAATTATAAATTGAACATTGTAAATTTGAGATTTGCAGTTCACACTATAATAGTTCAAAAATAGATATTGCCGATAAAATACAAAGTCTTTATTGCATCGGGAGTTGATAATGGTCTTGGTAAGTTAATTAATGTCTAATTAATAATTTATGTAACATTTAAGGCCTAAAGTAAGACCTGCAATAGGCAGATTTAGCTCTTTCATAATGTACAGAATGTTTAATTAAGAAGAATTCATATTTGCAAATCAGCATCCACAATGATCAATTTTAGTGAATCTACAGAAACGGTAAATTTCTGTTTTATTAAACTAGACATTTCATACTTTTTCAAACATGAAATTGATATTGCAATAACAAAGCTTATCTTTTAAATGTATAAATACATGATCGCAGACATTCCCTACCTGGCTGTTGATTTCCTTTATTAACACCATTTTCTATTAGTTTAATGTATATCAGTCAAAACAACTGGATACTGGGGATTAAACAAAGTATTTTTATAAATCAATTAAATGGGCATTGACACTTCAAAAATAATCACTAAAATTTATTTCCAAAAATCAACAAATTTTTTTTTACAAAATTCTTTACTATTTTAAGTAGGCCCTATATGACAAGAAAACATGAATCCATTACATTTAGAATTTTGCATATTAACTAATGCGAACTTTCATTTCTGCATTTTTGACTTTTGATTTAATTTTCAATCTATCAGATAAAGCAGAATTTGGTTTCTTTTGTATCTCAATATTTACTCTATCTGTAGATTTAAAATTTTAATTGTACACAAACACCCACTTCACAAAGCAAATCAACAGATCAAACTTAGTGAAATTAACAATTTCATATTTCATATTTATGAATCAGTGTGCTGAACATTTCAATGTGTGGTTTGGGTCTAATGGCAATAAATTATGTGAAATAAACATTTTAAGTTGAACATGTGACTAGCCCTATTTAGCATAAGTATTTTATGTCTTGAATGAAGAAAATATATTTTTCTCTGGTTGCATATTTCAACGGTTTCAGTTTTATTCAAAGATAACATAAATGTTTAAACATATGAGAATAACATTGAGGCGCATTCCGTGAATATGGTGAAGGCACAATATATATTTCACAACAAATTAAAATACGTGAAGTGAAGACACGTTGTTGAAGGCAAATGAGTGAATGATACATGAGGAGGTAAGGGGAGGCAAGGTAACACTACTAACAAGGGAAATAACCTATCAAAAATGGTCCATAATGAGCTTCCAGAGCTTGGGAGCAGGGACACATTTCTATCCCGACATGGATATTCATATTTAAGTTTGTAAGTACAAATAAAATACTGAAATAAGTTGGTTAATATTAAATGGTAATATCTAATTAAGGGAATATAATCTGATGAGTCACATGCTGATTTTGGATATATGAATGAAATAGTTATGAATGTTTGCACTAGAAATCAATCATTATGTTCTACTTGACTCAGAATTTTAAATAAAATCTTTTGTTACATAAATTTTGACACAAAACTTTTATTATAAAATTCAAATGAGGAAACTAAGCACATCTGCGGCAATGTCTCACAAATGATTTATTCTAGGGCGCACTAATCATTAAAAATGATAATTCCTCTAACTCTCCATTCCATATCGTTAAAAGTTTCGAAATCTGAATATCTAAAATAGCTAGGGTAGGTCTAATATCAAATACACAGAAATTCCTTAAATTGAATTATCTCCCTTTAATAGTATTCCTGATATTTGATCTGCATTTAAGTCTCCATTTGTTCATCTTTAGGAAATGATATGAACATGATATTAAGGAACTGTGATTGGCTGACTATGTTATCATTCAAGTGTTTTACAAAAAGAAATGATGTTATTTAAAATGATCTTAATCCATCACATAAATTATAGTTATCAAAATAAATTCTTAAAAATACAATAAAATATGAAATAACATTTTATTTAGGTAGTAATTTGGTGGCATGTTGGTAGTGGTTTCAGGCTTATCTTAAAAAATAATCTTTTCAGTATAAAAATCTGTTAAGTTATTATAAATTACACAAATTTGATTATCAAGTAAATTTCTAAATACTGGTAAATAAATAAGTAATTAAGTAAATATTTAATGGATAAAAAATAAACTTGCAATATTTAAATGAATGAAGACAGTTTTAGAATATAAATGGTTGGAAAAAAGGGTGTTCTATTTGTCCTCAATTATAAACTGTGGGGTTTTTTTTTGTATCTCATAACTCTTGAAGACATTAAAACCAGCGGCTGCCAGGAAGGATACACCCACATTTTGCAAGAGATGGATAGAGAACAAGCTAAAAACAAACAGGATTTTTGGTACAATCAGGGTCATTTTGTCGGGCAGTTTCATTTCGATTTTCCATTATGGTGAAAAAATGGTTTTTAAAATCGGAAAAAAAATTGTGACCTCTAGAGAATCCGCAAGCTAAAAATGCGATTTTCAAACAATCAGGAGCCATAATCCAGGAAGTTACGTTTGGATATATGCGATTATCAAAGGAACCAAGATCTTAGTGTGTAATGGTGATATATTTGCATGTTTTTTTTAAATCAGATAAAAATTATGACCTCTACATGGATGGCAAGCTAAAAACATGATTTTTTGTACACTCAAGTGCCAAAATTCGAACTCAATAAACATTACGGTGTAACAGTGATATATTCGAACGTTTTTTTTAAATAGGATAATAATTGTGACCTCTAGAGGGACAACAATCTAAAAACGAGATTTTTCGTGCAATCAGGTGCCATAATTCAGAAAGTTACAGTCCGATATGCCAGAATATCAACAAGAACCAAGATCTTTGGGTTATAAACATGCATTTCAAGTTTCATCAAAATCTGATGAAAATTGTACCATATTTTTACCCTATTTGAGAACGGGGTGCGGCCATTTTGTCTGTCAGTTTTGGTCCGATTTTCACGAAATTCGAACTCAACCATCCTTAGGGTGTAACGCTGATTTACTAAAACTTTTTTTTTAAATCGGATAAAAATTATGACCTATAGGGTCCACAAGTTAAAAACGTGATTTTTCGTACAATCACGGGCCATAATTCAAGAAATTACGGTTCGAAGTGCACGAATATCGAAAGAAACCAAGATCTTTGGGTTATAAATTTATATTTCAAGTTTCAACAAAATCAGATAAAAATTGTGACCTTTATTGGGTCCACAAGCTAAAAATGTGATTTTTCATACAATCAGGGGCCATAGTCCATGAAGTTATGGTTCGATACATGTGAATATCGAAAGGAACCGAGATCTTAGGGAGATCAACCCATATTTCAAGTTTCGTTGAAATTGGATAAAAATTGTGACCTGTAGAGTGTCCACAAACAATTGTGGACATCTGGACGGACAGGGGTGACAACAATATGTGGGCGTATAAAAAGCTACACACATTTAAACCTAAAACTAGATATTATGAAAAAATCTACTGATTAACTACTGATTAACATAAATAAAGAGCTCTTTTTCTCGATTCTAAAAGATGTTTAACATCGAAACCATTTACATATCTCACATATTTTAAAGATAGGTTGCCAGGCAACGAAACATACGCCCACAGCAGCTAAATCGTCCGGGCAGTCAACAAGTGTTGTCGCATATTTTTACTTTTTGGGGTAATGAAAATTTATTATACACTAAAATCTGATCAAGGGTAACAACTCATGAAGTAATTATCAATCTGAAGTCAATTGAATGATAACTTTAGCCTCTAGAGCGTCACAAGATTTTTCAAAGTGATCAAGGGCCATAACTTTGGCAGTAATTATCGGAAATCGTTCAAAATCAATAGGATTCTTTGTCTCATGACCTCAAATACTGTGTATAAATTTAAAGTCAATCGGATATTAACTTTAGCCTCTAGACCATACACAAGATTTTTTGAAGTGATCAAGGGCTATAACTCTGGCAGTAATTATCAAAAATCGCTGAAAATGAATAGCCTTCTTCGTCTCATGACCTTAAACACTGTGTATAAATTTAAAGTCAATCGGATATTAATTTTGACCTCAAGGGCGTCCACAAGATTTTTTGAAGTGATCAAGGGCCATAACTCTGGCAGTAATTATCGGAAATCGCTGAAAATCAATAGGATTCTTCGTCTCATGACCTTAAACACTGTGTATAAATTTAAAGTCGGACGGACGGACAGGGGTGACGACAATATACGACCACATTTCAATGTGGGCGTATAAAAACAGCAAATGGAATGCTTTTTAAAAAAAATCATTAATATTTAATTTGCCATTTTGTCTTTGATATTTCCAAAGAAAAATCACTATTTTTGCCTTATAAATTTAATGTTTTATGAAATTAATGATATGCAAAGAGTGGTGACATATGCATGTACTTTCTTACTCAATTATTTTTGCATTTTCTCATTAACTCTAAACCATTCAATCACAATGTTTTATTAATTAAAGATATACATTTCCAAAATGACTTACTTAATTGATGAGTGATCATGAATGCCATATAAATTCAAATTTAACTAGAAATAAATTTCATGTGATTTCTTCGGTTACTTCATCAATTGTGATGCGATTTATTTTCGTTATTTAAAAATTATTGTTAACTTATTTTTAAAGTGATTTATCACTTGCCATTCATATAAATAATCTAATTTCAAAAACACATATAATGAATTATAAATGTAAAGATGAAAACCCCCTTAAAATAAACTAGATCTACAAAAGTGTTTTTTTAATAAATATACAGAAAAAAATTTAAGAGCACTCTTAGACTAACAACATGACTTGGATATATCAACACAGAATATTTACACAGTGTTTGTACAACAAAACCTAATTCTAATTCTAGGCCTATATTACACCCCAGTGCTATATAACATTTGTTTTTTAATCAACTTTAGAAATACTCAAATTTCAAACTCACTCACTCTCTCAACATGTATTTTTGGACTGGATTGATGCAATATATATAAAAAGTAAATTTACATAATTTACCTTCATCATAACCACTTGTAACAAGCAACTGAAATCTGAGTATAACTTAGTTGACTAGAAAAGAAATAATTTATGGCCTGGAGCCCAGGTTTAAATCTGTACGTTTAAGTAAATTTTTGTAGAAATGAATTTCCATGCAAAAATCATTTTATCTTTTAGAACCTGCATTTGAATCTTAAATCTAGTAATCTGTTAATGATAATTTATCCAATAAGGATACATATTTTAACTGATGTACATGTAACTAATTGTCATTCAAATAGTAACCAATTCTGTAAACAATCTGTATCTTCATTATTCATTGCATACTCCATGTTTGTTTAGCAATGCTAACAGTTATAAATTCATAATGTAACACTTTATAGTTCAATATATACACATATATAATCAAATACTTTACTGAATGATGACATCCATTGTTGTTTGATCACTTGACAAATTCACAAGTTCAAAGAATTTTGACAAAATGTAACTTGATCTCTTCCTTCTGTCAAAATTAGTAGCATGTAGATATTCTAGTTATATAATTGAATGTTTCAATTCACAAATAAGGAAATTCACTACAGCATTAAGCATATTTATGTATCATCCATTCATCCAAAAAATGAAGAAAATAAATGAATCCATTATGAAATCTATACCGTACAACATCACAAACCCAGATTTAACATAAACTATCTATTGCATATCAAACTTTTTAAAATGTTTTTTCACACTTTCGTTTTGTTCTGGGGTCGTGCCCTGTGGTAACGATACAGCACGCTGTTTTTTATTCCGTAACTTGCTGCCTTTTCGCTTTAGCATTGTTTTTATACTCTTAAACGGATTTGATTCACTCGGTGTTGGTGATGGAATGTTCCGACTAGGCTGAACGCTTGGTTTTTCTACTTTCAAGTTTTCAACACTAGTGTGTATATTCTGATCCTTTTGTTCATTCTGACTGTTTCCAATGGATACGCTATGATCACGGATGTCTGTGGAATTTGGGTCAATAATATGGCTATTGTCATCGGAACTGTTAGTAAACGATTCTTCATTACTTTCCGTATTAACACTCAAAGCTTCAGCACTGTCACATTTCTGAAAGTCATTCTCATCAGGCAATTCCAGTAACGGAGACTGCCCAAGACCTTGAGGGTATTCTGCGATACTGCGACATCTTTCTTTACGATCGACCATGCGCCTTTGCACGCTGGACAGATTTTCCTGACTTCCATATCGAAATGTTCCTTCCTCCAATGTTTCTAGGCGATCTGGAGTGTGAAGCTCAAAGCTGCTTTTATGACGGCGAAGTTTATCCCGCATTGTGCCCCAACGTAGTTTGATGTTTTTTGGTGATTCCTTTTCTTTAAAACTCTTGTGGGTGGTTGGGGAAAGATCATTGGTTGATTTGTTGATGGTTTGAATTAATCCATTATTTCCATTATTATGTAATTTTAGAGCGATGGAGAGTTTATCATTTCTTGCGGACAAGTCTTCTATTTTAGCACTTTGTCTATCAATGACTGTTTCTTTCAATTCTAATAATCCGAGAATTTGTTTCTGTTCACGACGAAGCTGCCCCTCAAGGAGAAACAGACGCGATATGATTGCGCTGATTTGATGATCGTGCCCCACCTGTTTACTCTTCATCTCCAGCTCTTTTTTACGTAGTTGAGCTTGAAGGGAGGTAACCGTTAGATTGGTGTGTATCTGATGTCGGTACAGATGGCTCTGTGATTGTTGAAGTATTTCCTTTGTAGATTTCACTTCTTGTTTCAACAACTCTATCTCTTCCTTCATCTTAAAATATACAAAAAAGTTACAATTAAAGACAATATTTAACAAATTGGGTTTGAAAGCAAATTCTTGACAGGTAAAAGACAAATACTAATTTACTAATTATTGTCAATTGATCAGGCAGGCTATTTGTTCTCAGTTTTTTTGAGAAATCAGCCAACTATTAAAATGGGTTTGTCACGCCTTTCGAACACAATAATTCTGCTCCTTAAGGGTAGAATGTTCAAACTTGAGTAGATGTTCATTAGGATGGTTGACGAACAATTTGATTGTTTGAGACATTGGAACATGATAACTTTCATTCTAATTGAGTGAAATTGATGAAACTTCTTGTAAAGTTTCATTACATTAATACCTTGAATAATGTTGATGATGCGTATTTATTGTAAAGGATAAACAGAGATATGTAATTTGATTGATTGAGACATTGGACATTGGAACACAATAACTGAAGGGAGATTGTTCAAACTTGGTGGAAGTGTTCATTAGGTGAATTTCTTGAGTGAGTTAAATGATGTATGGTACACTGCCTGCTTATACAACCATGTATGACAAACGATGGATTGTGGGACATTCAAGGGGCAACCACAATATGGGCCCATAAAAATGTTGTAAATCAAACCAATGACTCAATGGATGAATTTTTAAAATACACATATTTGCTGCATAGTTATAGTAATAATGCTTGAGGACAGTTTGTTAATGTTACATTTGTTTAAGTAAATCTGTTATGTTTTAATATTATGTATGCAATAAACCTTACCATGTCTCTGACATCATCACACCCACTGCTTAGCGTCAATTGATTTACAGCCATGAGGCAAACTAATTTAAATATACATACAGATTTTCGTTCCTGTCCTCACAATTATCTTAGAGAACACATTTCACAGATGAAAATTCCTCACAAAATTACTTTTTCCATTATATGTCTCGAGATACATTGATAAGTCCATGAACAGAAATTCAATATATCAAGAGGTGTGTTCTCGATTTAAAGGAAGTCTAATAGATAACATATAACATTACAATGATATCAAATAACCCAGAAATTAAAGCAACACTTGTAAAAACTTTGTGAATTTAACTGCTCAATATACTTTCCAGCAGAAAAATGGGTAAAAATATCTGAATCGATACTCTTTTTTTTACAGAGGCCAAATTGTCTAACGTAGAGGTTTCATCATAAGGTTTGATCCCCTGCTTGTACGTGATCTCATGGGGTTTCTGCAGACTCTGGCTTCCTCCCTATTTTTGTATAGTACATAAATGACCTAGTTTGAGTTGAGAAGTATATTTTCCCTTCCATCTTGTTATTCCTATAAAAAACACCTGACATCTGACGTATTTTCTTAAGGCTGATGTTCAGAACATGTGAACGTATTGACCAATCAGATTGGTATAAAGGGATGAGTTTTGAAGTGAACTATAAGAATTCTAATACTAAAGCGTACATGAATAATTGTCATGGTTTTAGGCTTGATTGTTGGTTAGGTTATATAAGATTAACTGATAAAAAATAATATTCTCACTGATAGTACAAAGTTGTGATACAAGGTTGGCCAGATTACAATGAAGTGTAAAATACACTGCTTTATCTTGTGAACATAAACAGGCTGTATGAATTTCAAGGCAATGTAATGATAACTTTAGCTTCAAGATTTTTCTAAGTGATCAATCGAATGATAAGTTTACCTTCTAGAGAATGGACAGGGGCTACAACTGTGGCAGTAATAATTTGAAATCGTTGAAAATCTATAGGCTTCTTCGTCCATGAACACTGTGTATAAATCTAATGGCAATCAGATTACAACTTTAGCTTTTGGAGCATCCACATGCTAATGGAGTCTCTTTATGATTTGTATACTAGGCTACTGTCTTGATCAGTGGTTAATAAAATCTTAAACATACATTATACAAGAGCTAAATCTGCCAATTGCAGGGCTTTATAATTCTTTAGGCCTGAAATGTTATCTAAATTATTAATTAGACATTAATTAACTTATCCAGACCATAATCAACTCTCGAGGCATCACTAGCCTGCGATATTTACTGGATTATGATCCCATTTGCTGCTCGACTTCAAATCATAATTTAATCATGAAATGGATGATCAAGACTATGTTTTTTATCGTACAGACTTTAGTAATGATGATCGAGACTAGGCCGAAATTTCAATCGCTTAATTCTCGATTCATAGAAAATCAATTTGACTGAAATTTTCAGCAAATTGCCTTTACGTTATCTAGTTTTTAACTATTACATTGACCACTGCCAGCTCTTTATCTTATCTCCCATAATGTATCTTTAATAGATAAATTATTCAAGTTAAAAATAGAATGTATACTGTGACATTTTAATATCAGTGTTTGTGCATTACAAAAAATTACATAACCTAAAGATAAAAATACACAAATCTGATCGTCAGATTTATCTCAAAATATTCACTTAACCCAGACTCATTTAAAATATACTCTTCAAAAAAAGTAGGGGATATTGAAATGCAAATACCTATGCAGGTTGTGATATGATAAATAGTCATGGACACTTGACATGCTTTGAGAGTACATGTTTGTTCACAGATGAAGAACTTATCGCCCCAACAGAACCACTGAGCTGCACATGTGACACGCAATAGTGCCATACACGTGGGAGGGGTTCATTGTTTTAATTTGACACTTCAAGGAAAGGTTGATGAAAACTGCCGCGCGCTGGTTTATCTATCCATGTTTGCTGTCTTATCGGTTCTTGCATAAGATTTACTGTTTAGTGTATCTTTGCTTTAGTGTGTTACGTTTAATTTGATCGGGAGATGTGTTCGTCGATGTCAACGTCAACTGACAACACTGCAAGAATTGGCCGTGGCACTGCAAGAGGATTGGGTCAGATTGCCCCAAATTGTGATTGGATGGTTGATTAGGAGCATGCCACGATGAATTGCTGAATGTCTGAGGATTGGTGGAGCAATTACTCATTATTAAGACAAAAATCAAAAACGTCCATTTTAATTTTGACAGTTTATCTCTTTGCGAGTGAAATGGGGCCGTCAGATAAGCTGCCCGTATGAACTGTTTAAGTTCATGTGTAGGCAATTGGCCTGTTATTAACATACACTGGTTACCTCTAATAAAAACAACAGTGCATTTCTGCAGTTTTGTATTGTTTCTGAATATCCCCTACTTTTTTTGAAGAGTATATAAAACAATCTTCTACTAATATACATATGTGAGGTTTAAACACACTCACTGTGGTATTTAGAATTGATTCACGTACAGCTCTGATCTATATTTACACCACTAAAGTTATTTTTTATTATACTATGATAATTTTTAGCATTATCTCAAACCTAATTAGTATTTTTATAACCTCAAACATGTACTATATGCCATCACTACATATGTCTGACTACATATATAGACCCCAATGTCAAATAAAACAAATTGATTTCTCTAAAGGTTTACTTTTGTTGCTTTTGCAGTTCATGCAATTGTGCGGGGATATGTGGGATACAACTGAATTCAACTGACAGTTCCATGAAAAAATGTGACATGTTGTATACTTTTCTGAGATCAGTTGCAACTAATTTAAGCAAGCATTTTTTCAACTGAATGCAACTACACATAGTTTTGAGGCAATGTTTAAGCATTCTGTGTATTTTGTAGTTTTCCCCCACTTTATTTGAAACTGATCTACATCAAACTTCAGAAATTTTCTCTTAAAACATATTTCAAAAATTATGATGTCAATAATTTTATGGGCCAAATGGAATTGAGAAATGTGATGGGATGAAGCATAAATGACTGGGCTGATTGCCAGACACTTCAACATTTAAAACAGAATATTTGATGTCAACCAAGATAACAAAGAAGGCCTAAGGAAAGTCATTTTAAATAGTGATCATAAAAAACATTTTTCTAAAAGATATCAAACATTTTGTATCAAATCCAGAAAAACAAACTTTGTGACTATAAAAATATATAGAGTAAAAATACATTTTGCATAAATAATTTTTCTCTCAAATACTGTGAATTTCATTATTTAAATTCGAGCCGAGTATGTTCAATGATACACTTTTGTTACCAAAGAGTTGTACATGCACACTTCAATCACATTGCCAGAAATATTCATCATAAACCTTGTGGACAGCATTATTCAGAATTTTCCAGATGATTGATAGACTATAGGCTGTGGACTGTAGGTTGCACTATTATAAAGGACATCATAATTATCCAGATGATTCATGGACTGTGGGTTGCACTCTTGCAAAATTCTTAATAAATAACATGAATTCCCATGTGTAAGACTCAATTTTACTCATGTTATAAGTGTTTTCTAACCACCAGATTCTGCAAAATCTAAAATCTTCCCCCAAAGTCCAGGAAATGGCATTTCAAGGACTCTAGTTTCAAAAACTTCTTTTGAAGGGGGGGGGGGGGCAATACCCCAGACCCTCCTAAAAAGCTTGAACGTGGCTGCATATATATTAGGGGCCTGTGCATCAGGAAATGGCATTTCAGAGACCCTAGATTCAAAAGCTTATGGGGGGCGGGCGGGGAATGCATGCTCCCCGACCCTCCTAAAAAGCTTGAACGTGGCTGCATATATTAGGGGCCTTTGCATCAGGAAATGTCATTTCAGGGACCCTAGATTCAAAAACTTCTTGGGGGGGGGGGGATGCATGCTCCCCGATCCTCCTAAAAAGCTTGAACGTGGCAGGATCTCAAGAAAGAGTAATCATACAATGCCTTGTGCATGACAACTAGTAAACTACCACTGCTTAAAGCTAATGGGATTAATTGTTTTGACCTGGATGTATAACCTTTCAACCAAACAAATAAAATAGCTTTTTTATGAGAAAAATAGAAAGAACTGTTCTTACCAATTCTATTATCATGTCTTTCATTGTTTGAATAACATCAGATACCATCCTGTTTACCCCTCTGTTAATATATATTCTCTCTTATGGATGGTTCAATGTTCAAGTCTACCTTCCATATTCCAAA